CGTTTAATACGACAAATATTTTTTCTGCCATCGTAACCTCTTTGCACTGAAATGCACCGTCAAAAGCCCTCAGTGCATTCGAGTGCGTCCTATGACAGAGAAACTAGCTCAATCGAACATAAAGAGTTCACTACACTGTGGCAGAGTTACCCAATCGAACCCATTTGTATTGACATTAATCTAGTGCAGTTATGAATCGAACACAAGTGGCAGATGCACCAATAGAGGATAACCTCAATCGAACACGCTAAAACTGAAAGAAGGCGCACTCAGTACACACTAGTGCGCACTAGTGCATCCAATCGAATTAGCCATTAGTTTTAACGAAAGTTTGGCTAAACTAGAGATTAAGGCAAAAGTGGTAGAAACATAGACTTATAAGATAGATGGAGCATTCGTACGAGAGAAGCTGAAGACGTGATAGAAAGAGAAAGAAACAGTCGCGGAGTAGAGTCCTATATATAAAGAGAAACGACATTGATGTCCGAGTTTCTGATTGGTAGTCTGATATGTATTCTGATTGAGTATCCCCTGAGCAGCAATTACTACGTTTACACGGCACGCTTTACGCCAAAGTTATAACATCGATGTTATGAAACTGGTCAATCACAGTCATTCCATTCTTCAGAGGAACAGCTATGATTGGCCAGTTTCATAACATAGATGTTATAACTTCGGCGTAAAGCATGCCGTGTAAACGTAGTAAATATTGTGACCGCAGTTGATTACATGTAGCTGCACATGTGATTGCGACACATGTGGCCGCTGACTTCAGTTGTATCTCACTTGTCAGAATGCAAAAGGAATGTGCATTCAACTAAGTTATGACACAGAGGCCGGTATTCATAGTCAGACCTTATATTCAAGACCGTCTTAAGTACAGTCTTAAGAAGTCACGAACCAATCAGAGGGCTGCATTAGCGTCTTAAGACATTACTTAAGACGGTCTTGAAATAAGAACCGACTATGAATACCGGCCAGAGAATTACTACATCCTTGTTATTCTCAGCGAAGTACAGAATTGGAGGTGGGAGGATCCCGTTTGCCTACAATCCCGATTGCACACACCACTCATATCAGCTGGTGCCTAATAATTTTTCACTTTATTTTTGCTTTAACAATGAGAATATTTTATTTTTAAATTGGCCAATTAGCGACACATGTGTGCAATATGCAATGTGTGCAATCGGAGTCTTCCTGGTTGGAGTATGTTTATGTTTACGACACTTTAACGGTCGGAACATGGCGGCGGGGGGGGTGGGGGAAGACGAAAATTCATCTCGATCTCCTCCGCCAGACCAGGAAGTGCGGGGGCCGCGAGCAGAGACGCCACCCTTGACGGGGACATCCACTGCGCGCTCGTATTAGCTAGAACTCAAGGCCGCGCGGACGTGCACTGCACGCACGGATACCGCGACACGCGGAAGCCAATCAGCGTGACTACCTTCCCTCAAAGGAGAGGGGGAGCTAAGCAGCCTGTGAGAATCCGCTCCCGGACCTCACTCTTTCTGTGGGCGAGCGAGCCATGAAACGTGTAAAGAAGGTACGAGGTCACTTCCGCCAAGCCAGAGAACGAAGATACTGATATCGAGGGGTTCGCGAGAGGAGAGCGAGAGGACGGAGAGGACAGCAGGGTGAGACGAGCGTACGCCGATTGTAATGGTACGTTTCCAATGAGCGCCTCACGCGTCGCGTCATGAAAGAGAAAAAGAGATAAGATTATATAAATACACAACCCCTCTCATTCTCTCTTTCGACGATGCGACGCGTGACGCGCTCAGTGGAAACTCAGCCTAAAGCTGCCGACCGGGTACGTCGCCGGGGGGATCGCACGTAAGCCAGCTCGCATCGTAACGAGAGATCGGCGTAATGACCGCCGTGTAGAGCCGCGGAACCGCAAGCCACGTGCCATCCTCCCGAGCATTGGAAGTAATTAGCTGTCGCATCTCGAGAGTTCGAGTACGGGGAAAAATTTTCATTGCCGAGTGGAGGTAAATTCGAGTCGTTCGGAGTGTATCGAGGGCCGAGTCGTGCTTGTTCCTCTCGCCACAGGGGAGTCACTTCCGATTTCCGAGTAGAATCGCGTAGAAACGCGTAGAGTAGTCGCGTTGTCGAGTCTCGTC